AACAACTAAATTAGTCGACTTGTCTCAGACCGATCTCGTTCTCAGTGTGTCGCAAGCAAAATTCAAATGTGCCACCACGGTCCCGCCCCTCGCGATCAACCCGGCGTAGCCGAAGACAAGAAGCACGGAGGCTTCTTGACCAGGCCTACCAGGAGTGGTTAAACTCCTTGGAGGACCCGACAGTGAGACCGGACAACCAGGAGCCTGCTGACTCAGTGTCACCAGCCACTCCTCCGGCTAACTCGCCTCCCTCCTCTCCCGAGGAAATTCCCCCTCGTCCGCTTTCCGCATCCTCCGCTCTCACCTATCGAATTTTCCCAGAGACACCTTCGCCAACTCCCTCACCAACATGTTCTTTTCCTTCAGTCTCCTACTCTCCGGTACCTCTTTCCCCAGAGGAGCCTCGCGCTCCCTCACCTGCAATTTCCATTGAAACCATAGATTGGGAGAGGGACTCACGCCCTTCTTCTCCTGCAAGTTCCACGGGAAGCGTCGAGTTTCTCGAGGAAATCCCCGCTCCTCGTCCCCGCTTGCATTATTTCTATGGGGAACACGACTCGTTAGAGTCGCTTATCCATCGATTCCCTCAATTATATTCCCCGCTGGAACCCGAAACATATACCATAGGTCCAGATAGCTTTTGCCTGGAAGAACTCCGCACCACGGTTAGTTTCATGGATCCCACCGATAGTATCCCTGTCTATATGCACAGCTCCCCCTTCCCCTATTTGATACCGTACTTTTCTTCTATAATTTCTTCCCCCCTTCCACCGCTACGCTGGAGGAGTTCACCGAGGAATAAATGTAACCTCGTATGCATCCATACAGATTAAGTACCGCTTAAGAAAATTACGAAAATGTTAATCAAATAATTAAGAGAATGTTTAATATCTCAGACTCGCTCATATGTTCGCGTCCGTTTCTTTACCTTTTAATATAAGAACAAATAAATAAATATAAATATATATATATATATATTATTAATGAACTCAGAGTCCGAAAATACTATCCGTTAATTATTAGTATCCTATAA